CCTAAATGACTTAGGCCCATTTAAGAAACATGTTTTCACTACACTTTAAAGTACAAGTTTAATAGATTTGAGAAGAATGGGAATATCTGATGGTAGGAAATAGTCAGATCATTTATGCGATTGAAAAAAAAATCAAACAACTATAAAAACCAGGTACAGATGTGCAAAGAACCAGTCTCATCGGTTTGTATTTACATTCTGCTTCTACAAATTTCTATAATGCTCTTTCATCACTGAACATTTACTCCCACTAGTACCCCGGCTTAAATAAAACAAGCCATGAGAGCTTATCAATGAGTATACTGGAATTAGCTGGCAAACATCAATATAAGCAAAGAGAAGAGCACAGAGGTTTCTCTCCTTTGCTTCACACGAATTTGGCAAATAGAAAGTTTGCTTAAAAAGTTTGCAAAAGAAAGGATATACGATAGTCACCAAGACCCACTTAGCACCATCTTTCCCAACTAAACACAGCTCAGTATTCTGACCATGGCTTCTTTTCTTCTGCCTTTCTTTTGATTTATCTGACATAAATAAAACAATTAAGTTGAAATTATTGCTTCTCTGGGGTGGAGAGGTATTTAACCAGGGTTTTTTGTAGTATCTGCCTTAAGAGAAAAAATTTTATAGAAGACTTCTATAGCACTTCTGCCAATTTATCTTTCACAGCGAATCTAAGAAATTCGACCCACATCATCATATTTGAAAATATTATAGAACTTCTTCAAATTATATTTTATCTTCTATTTTATTGGTTAAACCAAATCTTCAGAAGTTTTTAACTAACTTAATAACTGATTTCACCAACTCACTGCTCATTACTTCTTCTGTGAAGAACAATTACAGATTACCCAGCTATCAGAATGATTTTTAACTAGAAACTTAATCCAACAGGAGGACTGTTATCTAAAAGCTAACAAACTGTAAATATCAACAATTTCTGAATCAAGTAATGAATGTCCTAAACCCCACTATAAATAGCCACAGCCATCTGTCTGATTTGCCCCTTCTCCTCATTACTTTAACTTGTCTATCTCCAAGGACACAATCTTACCATGTAACGTGCCTGGTTTCACCTCCTGCCTCTTGCAGGAGGAAAGCAGCAGCAAGGGGAAAGATCACCATCCGTGACCCCCACCCAGAGAGCTAACATTACTAAATCTGACTTCCATACTCGATCTCAAGTGCTTATCTGTTATTTCCATCACACTCCTTCTATTACAGTTGTTTGCTATCATTTAACCACATTTTATCTCATTTCATTCTCTCTTTCCCTATCGTTTGGGTGGTGTTTTCTTTTTCTTTTGGCACTGTCCTCCAAGGAATATTTTTAACAAAGTTGTGGAAACACAAGCACATTGTATCCACCCATTCTCCCTAATTTCCTTGCAAACCTTTTCAAAGGAAAGCTTACCCAGGAAAAACAATTTTCATGTAACGCCATCAGGTCCCACCACTCCTATGCAGTCTACTACTCTAAAGAAACAGTTACTAGTTAGAATAAATTAAAACGCAGTAGTGAAGAGGACAAAAGCTGGAAAATTCCTTAGCAGGATGGGGGCTATACACGCAGTTACATACAGCATAGCAGTTTGTTGCGATTTAGACCA